GGGGCGGGAAGGGCCGCGGATGCGGCACCGGGGCGGCCCTTTCCTCCCGCCGCGGCCCCGTGTGACCCGCGCGGCGCTTCCCCCCCCACGCCAGGCTACAAGATCCCCGTTATCGAGAACCTGGGCGCCACCCTGGACCAGTTCGACGCCATCGACTTCTCCGACAACGAGATCCGCAAGCTGGACGGGTTCCCGCTGCTGCGGCGCCTCAAGACGCTCCTCATGAACAACAACAGGATCTGGTGAGGGCGGCAGGCCGGGCCCCGCCGCGCCTGGCCGGCGCACGGCGCGTGCAGAGCCCCGCGTGCCCCAGGGAGAGCGTGTTATTTCCRTAAAGAGCCCCATGTTCCCAAAGGGGAGCCCCATGTTCCCAGTGGGAGCCCGTTATTCCCACGGGAGGGCCCATTCCCACCACCTGAAGCCCCGCACAGTTTCCCTGCCTTGTGCACTGCCAAGATCTGGGTCCCTTTGTGAGGCTGCACGGTCAGATCCAGTGCTGGAATTTGGCCCAGAGGCGCCCGAGCTCCTTTCCCATCCCATTAGGCAACAGGGAAGATAAACRTGGGGGACCAGGGTCCCTGCAGGTGCCTCCCTGTCCCCACACGCCTGTAACGTCTCACGACATTAACACCAGTGGCTGGCGAACGTCGCCTGCCCTACGACAAGCACGTGTTAGGGTCAWTGCCAACCCCCGTGCCAGCGCCAGGCTCGGCTGCTGTTTAAAATAAGGAGCCCTGGGTTGTGGTGCTCTGCTCCTGCCTGGCAGCTCTGCGCTGTTGGTTTCCAGCCCAAACAACCCTTCTCTTTCTGTTCCCCTTCAGTCGGATCGGGGAAGGACTGGAACAGGCCTTGCCCTGTCTCACGGAGCTCGTTCTTACCAATAACAACATCGCTGAACTGGTGAGCTGTAAATACGGAACATATCTTTGTCTTTAAATCTAAATCTTTCTTTATGTTGCATGTGTGCACCATCTCTGTGACTAMCCTTTCCCCTTTGTTTAGAAAAATACTGTTTTAGTAGGAATTGTGGTGTTTTTGTTTTAATAAATATGATCTGTGGCAGGCAGTGGAAGAGTAGTTACCAAATCTTCATGGGTTTCCTGTCAAACTAATTGCAGTAATTCTAACTGGTCTGCTAGCATAGGTATGAGATTCTAGTAAGAGCTTTTGGAAAAGAGATTCAGTTATTTGCAGTCTAATTTTGAGCTGAAGACACAAGTTTCTGTTATTTAAAAAAGGTGAAATACTCTGTTAAAACTTACTTCATGTTGCCTATACCAAAAAAGGAATCCCAAGCTTGTTTCCTCCATTCTCCCTTTGAATTATGCAGTAGGTAACAAAGAGCATGAATGGGTAATTTGGGACAAATGCTGCTCTGTTGGGCAGTGTTTTCAAAACAGYAAGTTCAAATGGATGTGAAATTTTCTTGGTTTGTGTTTGTCACTGCTTCTGTGTCAAAGTAARGTTTGCTAGAATTTTACTCGTTTTTTTCTCATTAAATAGATTTAAGATTTTGTACTGTGTTCCCATTCTGTAGGGTGAACTGGATCCATTATCAACTATTAAATCGTTGACTTATTTGAGGTATGTAATGTTGAAAAGTCAAAATATACTGTAAAATATTTTTTTTTGGACTGTGAAACAATGAGCAGGAGCTGTAACTTTTCTATAAACATTCAGAGCACTAACAGCCTTTGAAAAAAAAACTAGAGCTCACGTTTTAAACTGTTATTGCAAGTACTCTGAAATACATGTGACTTCTCAGCGCAAGGTCTTTTAAGTAAGTAAGATTATGTGAAGCATGAGGGATTAAAAAAAAAAGTCCATATCTGTCCTGCATTTTTTWAATTATTGATTGTTTGTAGTTAGCAAATATGATTAATTCATTGTTATATTTTTAAAGTTGTTTTGTATTTTTTTTGTTCTTTATGTTCTGCAGTAAAATCTACCTATTTGATAAAATACTTTTAAGTGCAAGTTTTCACTATAGTTTCCATAATATCAGAGAACACGTTATAATGCATATTTAATGATATTATGGCTTCTTATAGCAAAAGGTATGTTAATGCATTTTAGGCATATTAACAAGTTCTAATACCTTTTATTATGAGAATTTCTTTATGATACTTATTTACTTTGTAGCGTTTTAAGGAACCCTGTAACAAATAAGAAGCATTACAGATTGTATGTAATCCACAAAGTTCCTCAGGTCAGAGTGCTGGATTTTCAGAAAGTGAAACTCAAAGTAAGTCTGCTGTCTTCTGATTTGGCACAAGATGAAGCCCTTTCTTTTCTTTTTACATTCTTGAAACTTCAGTGCTAATTATAAGGGTTTTTTTTTCCTTTTTTTTTTTTTTTTTTTTTTTTTTTTTTGTAAAATGTATTGAAATGAAGTATTGCAGCTGGCATAAAAACATGCATTTCGTTTTCATTTTCTTTTATGGTTTCATTCTGTAAAAGATACAGTCTCTTTAATTATGCCTTATTGGCATTGGTTGTTTAGTCTGACTCTTTTCTGGCCATGCAGTGTTGTTGGTAGAAGGACAGACCTCTAGAGAAAGGAATGAGAAAGCACAGCACTGTGCCTTAAATGAGGATTTTGGTGTGGGAAAGCGTTCTTCAAGCTTTAAGAGAATTAGGTTGATGTGTCTTGAGTCTGAGCATTTGGGCAATGTTTATGTGCTTAACCTGGTCTCCACGTAGCAGTGTTCACTGCTGAGGATGGGCTGAAGAGTCTTTCTTTGCAAGGACCAAAGCTTTGCAAAATGCCATGTTCCTGAATTAACCTTGTGTGTGGTATCGCTGTAGGAGCGACAGGAGGCAGAGAAAATGTTCAAGGGCAAACGGGGTGCACAGCTTGCAAAGGATATTGCCAGGAGAGCAAAAACGTAAGATAAAAACAATTTACACTGGCATTCTCCTTCAGAAACACCACGGTGTTTGATGTGTGCAGCATTAGGCTGCATCAGGCACTAAAGGGAAATTGCAGTTACTGGCAGGATGTCTTAACAACTCTGTAGCCAGAAATGCCTGGTCGAGGCACCCTAGATTTTGGATGGTGGTGAATGCGTCTCAGAAATATTTTTGAAAGTGATATGTGGTCAGGGTGGACTAATTAAAGTCAACAAAAAAGAGCCYTAACTGCACTAGTTGTGGTTTGTCTCAGTATTTATCCTGAAGAGAGGTGACCACTATTTTGTTTTTCTTTTTCCTAATTGATTTATAACTAAAAATGCCTTGCTTTGCTGTAGACTATAACCCTTAAAATATGTGCATTCTAATTAGGTGCTTATAATGCAGATGAAAACCCTTAGTCAAGCCATTACAAACATATGTTCATTCAGTTTAATTCATCATAATAAAATGTTATGCCCTGTGTTTTGTTCAGTCTTTCATGGAGCTGTTTGGAAAGCAGAATTCAGTTCATGCCTGACAAAAGCATTTGAAAATTTGTAGCTGAAGAGAAATCTCTTGAACACATTTACCACAAACTGTAAGAGATGAAACTCTKTCTCTGCTCTGTGCGGAGAAGGAGGTCTGGGCTATGAGGGTTTTAGACCACATAGATTGTTGAGCTGAAATAGCCCAAAAAATGGATATGAAGAAAATGCTTCTCTAGATGCAAAAGAGGCTGCAGCTGTTTCAGGCTGGGTCAGCATTTCAGGAAACTCTTCCCAGGCAATTAGTCAGAAATGTCCATTTCGCATTTGATCTTTTTTTCTTACAACAGCATCAGATCACCTCTTTCTTTTAAGCTAAATATTCAGAATAGACTTTAAGAAAGGCTGCCAAAATATCAAACCTATTCAGGCAACCCAATTTYGACTAATCTGTTGGTATCCACCCTGCTTTTTGGTTTTTGACAACCTGAGYGTTCAGCAACATCCAAACTGAGCGGCTTCTGCCAACTGCTTAATTCATAAAGCCAGAGCCTGCCCCTTGGTGAGCAGCAGAAACGGGGGGAATGGGGCAGTGAGGTTGAGCTGCTGGTGTTTCTGAAGGAGGCAATTCACTGTATCAGTTTGTTAACAAAGATAAGATACTACACTTGATTGAATGAAAAACTTCCAGACTTGGTTTGGAAGTTAGAGAGGCACCTGCCCGTCCAAGGCGGTGACGATGCTCCTCTGCTTTGAAGCTTCACTCCAGGTGCTGGTCTGTTGGCAGACAAGAAGAAATCTGGGCCCTCGCCCGGGGACGTGGAGGCCATTAAGGTAACGTGCCAGGATGTTACACGCCGAGCAAAAAGGGGATAAAAATTGGTGTGGATTCTGCTTTCACAAGTATTTTCCTCTTCCTGGCAGCCCCTAACTCTTAAAAAACACAGAACAATATCCTCTAGATCTCTGGATGCTGTTTCTGCCTTTTTTTAAAAAAAAATTCCCTTTTTTCCTGTAATGCCATGTCTTTTTCTTAAGAAATTAGTGACATTTTATTCGAAGGTAAGACTTATCTCAGGATAGATCAGCCTAYGCAATAAGGAGAGAAGTAACTTTGTTCTTTGTTATTTATAGAATTTTGTGCAACAGAATAGCTTAGCTTTGCTTAATTGAAGGGAAAAAAACCTTCTTGTTCTTATGTTAGAATACTAAACAGGTGAAAGTAAATAAATAAACAGAATGCTAAACGGATTGTTGGCATATTGCACGTGAAGATTCACCTTGCTCTTTTGTCTGCTTTTTTTTCCAGGCTGCTATAGCAAACGCCTCAACTCTAGCTGAAGTGGAGAGGCTGAAGAGCTTGTTACAGTCCGGTCAGATACCCGGGAGGGAACGAAAACCAGGTCTCGTTACCTTCCTCTCCCTCTACTTTCCACACAGAGCCTCTCAAGGGCTTCCCAGTGCTTTGTGTGATCCTGGGAGGGAGTTCAGTGGGAATGGCCCAGCAATTGGGATGGGGAAAAAAAGGTTGAAGTTTACAGTGATTTTTAGGGTCAGAATGACCTGAAGGGTCACATCTTAAAGGCTAAGTGCATATAGTGGGTGTGTGGCCTCCAGAGCGCCGTTCAAGCCCCAAAGGTTGGAATATCCTCAGCCCTGTTCCCAGCATTTAGTTTAGCAGGGGCTCTTTGGTACGAAGCTTCAGATGGCCACGGGAGCACAGCCCAACCCGGGGCTGCTTCGTGAGCGGGGACAGAGTCAAACCCCGCTCTCCGAGACTCTCATTTGAGGAGATTTTAAGTGTTTGAATGATGATCAGTCGTGGGTGAAAAAAAGCAGTTTTGAAGTAGAAACACTGATGTACACGGGTGTTTTTAGGCCCCTCGGAGGATGCCGAAGAGGAGATGGAGGAGGACCCCGTTCCCAACGGCTCCTAAGCAGCGTGGCGGCGCTGGCGGGAGCTGCCCTCGCCTGGCTGGAGGGCTCTCCGTGCCCGGGCCTTGTGAGCCCCACCTTTGCCCGGAACGGGCCGTTTTGTACCCATTTTCTCGCTGTACATTTCACAGTTCAATAAATGACCGCTGCCTTTTTCACCCTGCGTGTCTCCTCCCTCGTTCCTTTGGGTTCCCTTCTCCCTGGCTGCCTGAAGCCCTCGACTGGGGCGGGTGGGAAGCGGCGTCGACAGCAAAACGGGGAGAAATGGGGTAAATTGGTGAATTTAGCTACTTGGGGGGCCGGGGGGGGGGAATGGGCGGGGGGAGGGAATGGGCGGGAGAGGTTCTGGTCCCGCCCCCCTGCTCCTCATTGGCCAGTCCCTCGCCGACCTCATGCCGCACCTCCGCCGTTTCCATTGGCCCGCCGCGCCGCAGCTTCGCCTTGCCATTGGCTCGCGGCGAGGCGGGTGAGGACGTGGAGGGCGCTGATTGGCCCTGCCGCGCTCCCGCCGC